GCACGTGCTCAGTAACACTCGGTACTTCCTGCCCATCAGCACAGCCAGCAAAGCTGCCCAGATCGGAGTGAGTTCTCCTGGTGTGGGAATAAGCTCATGAACACTTTCTGAGTGTATTAGAGGATTCCCATCATGTACATGAGTTTCAGTTTCCTTGCCTCAGTTCTTTCGAAACAGTTCGATCATTTTAGATTTCTCTTTCCAGTCACCTGCTTCTCTTTTGCAGCCCTAGCTCTTTCATGCGAGGTGCTGAGTCCCTAACACAAAACCTGGCTCTGACAGCGCGAGAGAGCTGGCGAGAACAGGCCCCAGCAATAGGGCATGCATTGCACACAATGGTCATAAAATTACCATAAAACGTTACCTCCTCTACTCAAATCCTCATCAGCTTAATCCATTAGCTGCCTGATAACAACAATCAGTTCACACGCTAACAATGCAGAGCTCTGTTTGCTCTGCACTCGGTAAAGGTCAGCTTCCTGCACCGGGGTGCAAACAAAGCCGCCGAATTACCGAAGGTGCTGTTCTGTGTTAGCACACACCAATGCCCTGAGAGCTACCAGGACACGCCGCTGCTTTCTTCTGTGACTTAATCGGAAGTTTGTGGTCATTGACTTGACACGCGTGTCATCGTGTCACACACGGCAGAGCCATCCTCAGCTCCCCAGCAGCCGGGTCTGAAACAGCCATAAGTGAACTGGCTGTGGTCCTGGGCTGAATTCCTGTTATCAGTGCTCGTGAGAAGAGGTTCAAGCACCTAGTGGTATTATTTAGATGTATGAGATCTCAATGAAAAGATCATTTCCCATCAGAGAAGCTGAGAACCTACACCACAAGCCAGTAATGCAGTGCCACCATAAAAGGAGGAACTGAAGTAACGTTAATGAGAAACTAACGGTGCACGGGGAAAAAGGGTAGTGGGTGCCACTTGTCCTAGCAGAGCAATACGTGGGCCTCAATTACTTCCTCAAATTGTACGAGTGGCTGCAGCAGCCAAGACTGGGGGGTTCCCTTCTATCAATTCCTACACCAAAAGCATCTGCGTGCTTTCTCTCCCAGCGTAAGGGTTGCCAAGAGCCAGAAGACTGACCTCCCCTACGCTGACCCGCTGCCCTCCCGTTTCACAAGGCCAGCAGTGCCTCAAGAAGCTGAGGTGAGCTGAACAGCCAGAGGTCATCCCCTCCACGGTCATCCCATACAAAACTTTTCAGACCAGTTTTCTTTGTGACTGCCACTCATTAATTCCTCAGAACTTGTTGGGCTTCAGCACAGGACACTGCCCTTCCAACCCCACAAGCACACTGCAGGACCCATGAGGCCCCAAACGCTCCTCAGCTACAACATCTACATGCCAGAGTTGAAATTCCCCAGGCCAGAAGCGATCAGTCTTAGAGACTTGCCAGCTTTCAGCCAGTTTGAAGTCTCCCATGCTAGATATCTGCCCAAGCCTGAAAGACATCAGCCAAATAGCTGAGGAGTTTGCAAGGCTGTCTTGTTAAACGGTTTGGATTAGGGTTTTGGAAACTCAGCATCCTTGTTCTTGCATCAAGGGCGTGTTTTTCATTGTCCGTGCAGACAATCTCTTTTCCAAACTCTTACAGTTTGACATTGATACTTTTTTTTTTAAATTAAGAATCTGCAATGACATTATGTCAGATACTGCACCTGAACTCCCTGAAGATTACAGGCATACGAGATGTACTGAAGACCAGGGCTAAACCAGAGCCCTCCCAAAGTTTCAAACAACATTTCTCTTGCCTTCACACCATCAGCAGTTAGGCAGTGAGGAAGAAGCCCCAACAGTTCACACCCTGTCGATCTGTAAGCCAAACCTTGCAGATGACCAAGCATAAACAAGCGAAGCACAGAATGAAGGAAGTCACGCACATGGAAGGAGCCAAGGCTACAAGAATTTTTACTTGAACAGTTTTTCAGACAAATCCCCATTGCTTGCCTCCGATTTGGTGGGAAGACTGACATTCGAACCAAGGCTCTGGGGCTGCTACAAGGCCCAAGATGTGGAGGATGCACCTTCACAGAGAGGTGAAGAGATGCAGGAGTGAACCCAGAGATATGAGAAAAACTTGTTGGACAAGGTAGCAGGAATAAAACAAATAAAGAAAAAAAATATACTTAGTACCAACACTACAAGGCGACAGGCAGAAAGGATCGGTTTTAGAGCAAAAAAACACACACAGGCCTGCAGGACCTATTAGGGTACTTGCTTCCCAGGGCTCACACATGGAGCCTAGAACTTGGACTCTTTCAGTGTGGCTTACCCTGGCACCTGGGGAGACCGTGCCTGCAAAAACCAGCAGCTCGTTATCTTCCAGAGCTGCCTGAACACACCAGCTCTCTTTTACTAAGCTACAGCAACAGGCCCGTGTGCCACATCTGTGCAGCCCTGCTGGAACAACGAGCCAGGAGATGCTGCCACACAACGGATTCCAGTCTTAGGATTTTTGGGGGAGAGGAAAAAAAGGAAACGTCCTGCTTCAATGGCTGATATTCATGATTATAATATAGGTACTTCCGACTGATTCATTCTTTTTACATCCAATATTGAGTGGATTATTACAGAAGGGGAAAGACAGTAGAAAAAAAAAGACAACACAGGTAAGAAATATTGACCGCTCTCAGGCACCCCCTCTGAGAAGAGCAGTTCTTTCATTCAGGATCTTAAAAGACTGTGTCCAGCACTTAAACTTCACAAGCTTTAACTTCAGCTGTGGCGGGTTCGTATTTATGCAAGGCAGGGTCTCAAGCTGAGTAAGAGAAGCCAGGAGCCCACATTAGCAACCACCTCTGGAAAAATGGATGTGAACAAACCAGCACCCACCCGATGGGAATTCCACACGGTAGCATTACCCAGGGTAACTACCAGGAGCAAGGCTTCTCTTGGCTTTCTGTGGCTCTCGGCCTTTCTAACTGACCACCTCACAGCTACTGCAATCAAAGATTGGCTCTACACACTGCCCCAACCGCTTTTCTCATCAAAAAAAAAAGTCAAATACCTACTTCTTTCCTTGTCACCTTCCATTTTGCCCTTCACAGCCCCTACAGGTGTCTCTGCCCTACTAAGGCCTGAAATTCCTCCCAACTCCCAACCACATCCTTCAAATATGCAAGGCCTCCTCCTGTCAACCTCACAAAAAGCCACGTGCTACATACAGCCCACTCCACAACATTAATTCAGGATCCCCACGTATTGATGTTCTGTGCCTTGTTCAAACCACACATCCCATAAGACAACATCCTCTAAACATCTGTGCCAAACGGGAGATGAGGGGCTGTGGAACCAAGCACATACTAACACAAACCTGCAGAACAAATGATACACAATTGCAACTTCTCCTCATTTCCACCTGAGCCAAGCAGCCTCACATTCCAACACAGAGCATTTTTTCACAGATCTCTGCCCCTCAAGTGTTTTATGCACCAAACCTCCTTCAAACACAACCATATGTCCAGGATAAAAGACTTCATGTCTTCTCAGTGCACACACTCATGTTAAGCATAAATGTGTATCAAATCCACAGGCACAGACACATCCCAGCCCCTGAGCCCATGTGCAGAGGGCTTGTGTGTATCACAGAGTGCCTCTAGTTAGCTCCTTACCTCTCAAGACCATTACAAGCACCAGTTTACACTTAATGGCCAAGTTACCCACTGGAACAAATAGAACAAGATACAGAGGGGGAAGAAACAATGAGCCTTTAACAGGAACTCCATGACTCCCTTAATCTGACAGTACTCCTAGCAGTGACAAGTTGCCTCATCTTCACTCACTTTTTTCCCCGTTTCCGCGGGCTGCCACAGCTGGGAACTCGTCCCCACACCAAAAGGAGCAGAGGACGCCCACCACCTCCCACCAGCTCAGCCCCAGCTCACTGCCACTCCCCCGCCCCCCATTTCAGCTTCCCACACCCGCGGTCAGAAGGCCTGCCCTCTCTCTCCACACAGACCATAGTTCCCACTAGCTCAGCACTACGAAGATTCCAGTTTCCTTTTCGCACAAATGCCATTGCCCTGGTACACACGTGGACGCACAGCCTACGGGAAGCTTCGCCCTGTACAGGCACAATCCCCACGAACTCACCCAACCCCTGCATCTTTCCAAACCCACGGAGACCTTTCAGTGCCCCCGCTGCTCATTTCTACTTCTAAATACCCGGCCAAGCTCCCTCACAGCCTCAATCTACAGTAAATCATAGCAATTTACCCACAAGAATGAAGCACTGATGCCCTTACAGACAGGAGCTTACACTGCCTCACATCTGCCCCAAGCACGGAGGGGCTCCTCCAGACACCTCCCAGCCCATGCGCAGCCTTTTCTCCAAACAGCACTGTTGGGTCCACCAGATTTGGCAGCTGCCAGGAGTTGTCCGTGGCTCAACCAACAAACACCCTGGCTTTCCATGCCATCACAAGTAGGCCATCAGCCCACAGCTCCTGCTATGCTCCCAGGACACCAACCACACGGCTTGTTGCCCTGGCGTGCCCCCAAACACCCAAACCGGGGTTCTCTCCGCTGCTGCCAGCCAGCCACCTCCCTCAGCCCTCGACAGCAGCGGCCGGCAGCCGGGCTCGCAGGCAGCCCAGCACATGCCCGCCTCCCCGCGCACACCCCAGCTCCTGTTACACGCCGAGGTCTCGCGCATTGCGCCCAGCCGCAGCGGCCCCCAGCACCGCGAGTCCCCGGCCTCGCAGCAACCTGTTGCCTCCGCGCCTGCCAGCCGGACCCGTGCTCACCGCCCCCCGCCCCCTCCTCCTCCCCCTGGCTTATCCCCATCCCCGCACCTCTCACAGGATTAGCTCCCAGCGCTCCTCGCCTCCCCGTACCCCCCCCATGTGCCTCCCCACGCCGCCCGCACCCCTGTGGCAGCCGCACGCCCCCCACAGGCCCCCCACAGGCCCCTCGCCTCCCCCCCCCCCCCCAGGGCCCCCTCACACCGCGCAGGGCCGGGCCCTGCCCCCCCCTCCCCCCTCTCCCCCCGTACCTGTCGGGGAGCGGCCCGGCAGCGCAGGGCCGGGCGCGCTGCGGGGCGGCGAGGCGAGGCGAGGCGCAGCCGTCCCCGTGAGGCGCAGCCCTCAGGCTCGGCCCGCCCCGCGCCGGCCGCCGCCGGCCGCAGCCGCCGCCCGCTCGCGCAGCCGGAGCGCCGCCCGCAGCGCCGCCATGTTGGGAGCCCCCGTCCCGACGGCCGCCGCCGGCCCCGCCCTCCCGCCGCGCGACGTCACCGCCCCCCCTCCCGGCCCGCCCCCTCCCTCCGCCCCGCGGCCGTCCCGAGGTCCCTATTGGCCGCCGCCGACGTCGCTCGCCCTCTTCCCGCCCCCCCCCCGCCGCTATTGGGTGACCCCGCGGCTCGCGCTGGGGAGCCTCGGCGCCATTGGGCGAGCCGTGCGCCGCTCACCCGCCGGCCCCGCTGGGGAGCGCCCCCCGATTGGGCATTCCGCCCCCGTCTCGCCAGCTATTGGCCGCCGCCCGCGTCAATCACGGCGCCGGCGCGCGCGGCGCCTGCCTTTCTCCGCACTTCTCTTCGCCCGGCCTCGCCGCCTGGGCCGGCCGGACGGAAGCGGCTGTCAGGCGGCGCCCCCGCCCCGCCCCGCCCCGCCCCGCCTTGCCTGCGGCCCATTGGCTGCCGGCGCTGCCACTCCCCCGCCGCCTCCCTCGCCCCGGCCGCCGCTGCTCGGGGTGGGCGGGAACCGGGCGGCGGGTGCCTCCTCCCGATTGGCTGCTCCCCCTGCCAATCTGCCCGGGCCGGCGGGCCCCCGGCGGAGCCGCGGCGCGCGCGCCGCTCCGCGCAGCGATTGGCTGCGGGGCGCCGGAGGGGCGGGGAAAGGCGCGCGGCGCCCCCCGGCACGGAGGGGAGGGGAGGAAAGGTGGGGGGGGGGGCGGGAAAAATGCCCGTATGTGCGCGCGATGACATCACCGGCAGCCAATCAGGGGGCGCGGGGCAGGGGGCGGGGGCTCGCGCCCGCCCGTTGGGGCCGCTGCGTCGCGTGCCCGGTGCCTCACAGCCACCAGCCCCCAGCGCCTCAGTGCCCCTCAGTGCCTCACAGCCCCTCAGTGCCTCACAGCGCCCAGTGCCTCAAAGCACCTTAGTACCTCACAGCCCCCGCCATTACCTCGGAGCTGCTGGTGCCTCACAGCCCCCAGTGCCTCATAGCCCCCACTATTACCTCACAGCCCCTCAGTACCTTACAGCTCCCATTACCTCACAGCCCTAGCCATCACCTCACAGTCCCTGCCATTACCTCACAACCCCCGCCATTATCTCACAGCCCCCTGGTACCTCACAGCCCCGCAGTCCCAACGCACAGCAGCCAGCCTGGGTCACCCCCCGGACCCCCAGCTCCCTCCCTGCCGCCCCGTGTTGGGTTTATGCCGGCCACACAAGGGGCTCAGAGCGGCTGCGTGCCCCCCACCTGCCCCTCGGATCCCCCAGCCCAGCGCTGCCCATACCAGTACCAGTGGCTGATTGATGCCTTGTGCCCTCTCACCGTGTGCTGGGGGTGAACGGGCACCGCTGTCAGACTTGGGGCCATAGGTCGAAACTCAGCTTACCTAGCGCTTTTATTTATCTGCCTCAACTTTTCTGGAGCATTGGAAAAGCCCTGAAAAAGCCTGCAACTTGACAATAGGGCCCCTCTCTCTTCCACATAGGCACACAATGGGATTATTTCCCAGAGTTACATCCACAGTCCAGAAAATACGCAGCTTTTGGCTGTAAGGTCACTGACACGCAGACGAGATAACCCTTGCCTGGTGCTCCAGAGGCAGGTTGAGCAAAGGGCACAGGAGCCGGAGCTGTGCTTTCTGCAGGTGCAGTGCACGTGTGCTGCGAGGAGGCTGGAAGGGTCACCCCAGCGTGGTCGTGCTGCTTCCCGCAGCTCTCTGCTCACCGACAGAGTTGATGGACACCGAAACCTCGATTGCCTCTGAACAGATGCTCACAAGCAAGCTCAGAAACAGAACACTGAGACCACGGATCGCCCTCTGCCATGGGAGACTTGCTAATAGACAAGCTAATTTGAGTGCCCAGCCCCGGCTGCCAATCAACCTAGTTATCCTTGCCGTGTCCACATGATCTGGGACTCAATATACTTTTATACATCTCACTAGGAGGGATTCGTTTATTTATTTATTTTTGTGTGCATGTGCTTTTCCTGAGGCTTACTTCTAGAGGTTGTTTAAATACAATTTATGTGTTATTAAAGTGATGACACATCTGGCTAAAAATTGCTGTATTTTCTGGTCAGTGAACATAAAATTCATTCAACATAGATAATTCTTGGGTTGCAGTTGGAATAGCAGTTTTTACCTTAAGTGATTCACTGGGAATTTTTGGAAAGCCTGTCACTCTTGAAACACAGATTTCAGCAGGTACAGAACTGAGCTGTAATTTTATCAGGTCTCTGTTTACAGCCTCCACTTTGCTACTCGGCCACCTGCCAGCGAGATACCACAGGCAGCATTAGATAATCCTGCCCCGTATGACCAAGGTATACTCAGCTGATACTGACTCCTCCATCTCGTTTACTGTAGCAGCCATTCTTCCCACAGTGGCTACTAAAAGCAAAATGTACACAAATATCAAAGAAATAGCCTTTCAGTTGTCATTCAAACCATCTGACCCTGTCTTTCTCCTTGCTCCCAGATTCAGCTCGGTCTTATCCCCTTCATTTCACCTTCTGCTCCAACTGCATATACAATTTTATAACAGGTTCTGAAAAATATGAAATACTTCCTCAATACATCACCTCAGTACCAATACAAACTTTAGAGAATTTACTGCCCAAAATAATAAATGCTACCCTATGTTATTTTTAACACAATAAATTCTATCCCTTACTATTTCCCAAACACAACCTGCATAAGTGTTAGAGAGAAACTAAAAATCTGCACTCCACATATGAGTCCTTAACCCAGCAGAAACAGCACATTCCTAATCACTAGAAAATGTGCATATCTGGCTGGTTTACGTGGGCTAAAACGAAATGCTGCCGTTGCTCAAGAGGTGTGTGTGGCAAGAGGCAAGGATCACAGTGGCAGGCAGCAGGGGCGGTGGGGTGAAGTAATAAGTAGGTGAAATAATGGCTGTATGTGGCAATGCGGAGTTAATGGCTAATCGAGGGATTTTGTGGCTTTTCGTGGCTGGCCTCAGTTTAGCTTCATGAAAGATTGCTAAAGCTGAATATTTGTCTGTGAGAACGTGTGTGCATTGGATCAAGAGTAAAGCATGTGTGCCTGGAAGTGTATGTACTTTCATATATATGCAGTGTCTATCTGATTCTCAAAGCTGATGCAAATAACTCTAGAAATGTTAACTATTACGTGGGAAATAGACTGTGCAGGATAAAGGTAATTCACAGACAACTTCTGTTTGATACTGCACAGAAGAGCAGTGAAAGTATGTTCTTACCATACAGAGTTTTTAATATTCCCATTTCTCCATATTCTACTTTTATTGGTGTACAGATTTGACCCTTTAGGAGTAGCTGTTGATCAATCTTGACAATTAAATTTGTTTCGTGTTCAAATGAATGAGCTGTAAAACAGCTCTTGACAAAACATCAGTAACTTTGGGAAACTACTTGAGCTGAAAACATTTTTACGTTATCTCAACTTTCACCGCTGTTTATGAGCTTTAAAAAATCAGTGTTTCATTTGTAGCATACATCAGTCCAGTGGGCTAACTGGCCTTCACACTGCTTTGACCTCAAGGGAAAACTGCTCTAGTTTCACAAGAAAGCGTGCCTATGTACTGTGAATATTCATGGTGTATGAACATTTTTTATCTGTGAAGCAAACAAGTGCTTTCATTTTCAGCTGAGTAACTTCCCATGGAAATTGATTCAGTAAACAACAGTCGGTAAGTTCTTCATCACTTCCCTGGGTACCCCTTCTAGATTACACCATCTGTGAGGAAAGGAAGGAAATCACCACAGCTAATAAGGCTGTCTTCATATGAAGAAATGAGTACAGAAAGTTTGGAAAGATTCATGTACCATTTTGTCTTCGTTTTGCTCAACAAGGGAAAGATTAAATGCTAATACAGAGGTGGAGAATAGGAAGAATGTGGGATGGGTAGCAAAGAAAAAGGCACATAAACTGAAAAACAAACAAACAAACAAACAAAAAACCCATCCACTAGGTAGTATTAATATTACAAGCTAATAGTTTGGACAATAAATGCTGCTCGTAGCTGGGGCCAGACATTCTTGGATGTGGTACTCAGTGAATTCCTCTTTCAAACTGTCACCAGAAGTAAAGTGTTTTGATGATTCAGGAATATGCCATCAGAGGCCTGACCGTCGATAATAACCCTAGAGCAGGTGATCATAAATTGTGCGATGAAAGGTGGAGGTGAAAAAGAATATTCTCAGTGTCAGAAAAACAGACTTGATAAATGAATGGACGTGGCAGTAAAACCAGCTCATGTAAAACAGAATAAAAAATTTGGATGTGGAAGAAGCCTTAACTATCTTAAAATCAAAGTTGCTAATTCCATTGTGATTCTGTATCATGCACAAGGCAAAAAGGGATATGGGAAGGGGCTTCAAGGCCTAACTAGGAGAGAAACAGCTGCAAGGGAGAGAGAGGTATGAATTATAAGCACAGAGTATAAAAACAAAACAGAAAAAGAAAAAAAAAAAGTCTGGTTCAGGAAAGATCTTCAACAACAATAGATATGAAAATGAAGGGAGAATTTATCTGGAAAATCAGGTTAATTTAGACCTTGTCCCTGGTATCTGGAAAAACAGCCAGATGTTATCCGTCTTTTTGGTAAGAAAGATGTAATGCTGCTTCCCAGTGGGGAAAAAAAGGGGAATTAGAGATACTCTACATCAAATTCTAAAACTAAACACATATTTTATCTTAATTTTCAGTAGAGATGGTGATGCTGAACAAGAGGCTAGAGGACAGGATGGCTGATAGCTAGGAGGGAAAGGAAATCAATTGCTAGTATCACACATAAGATGAAAGTAAAGCACACACTACAGCCTCTAGGCAGAAAGAATGGATAGATAATGCCCATTCCAGAAGTCGGGAAAGAGTGTCAAAGGAAATCACTGGTCTCGTAGTAAGCTTTTTAAAATAGGCATAAGAGGAGAGGACGAAGAGTAATGCTTGTTTACAACAGGTGGACCTGACCAGATTAACCTAATATCTTTCTTTGATACTATCATTCACCTTCCAGATAAAGGAGGAGATGGT